TGCCCCTTCCCCCTCAGTCTGCTGCCTCTGCAGCAAAAGGGGGAGGGGGGAAAGGTGGCTGGCGGCACTGTGGAGACAGTGTTGGGGGGAAATGGGCTTTTAAGCCAGTTCCCCCCAGCACCGGCTCCTAAGGTTGCCAGGTGTCCGGTTTTGAACTGGACAGTCCAGTATTTGAGCTCTCTGTTCAGGAAACAAATTGAAAAAATATAAATGAGAAAAATTTTTTAAAAGTCCGGTATTTTCTAAATAAGATGTAATGTAGATTGTGATGTAATGTCAAGTGTGTCCGGTATTTTTGTTGAAACCATCTGGAAACCCTACCGGCTCCTGCTCCCCTCCCCTTGCTGTCTCTAATATAGAGGCAGCAAGGGGGAAGTGGGATAATACGAGTAGTTGACTCGACTACCTGACAACCCTAGGCTTATTGGGTAGTTGACTACTCACTTACATCCCTACAAACAGCCTGTGCAAATTAATCACAGTAGAACCTCAGAGTTATAGACACCTTGGGAATGTAGGTTGTTCATACCGCTAAACAAAACATTATGATTGAACTTCCGAAAATTTGCAAGTGAACCTTGACTTAATATCACTTTAATTCTTTGCTATGCAGAAGAAAATTCTGCTTTTAACCATCTTAATTTAAATGAAGCAAAACCAGAAATGTTTCTTTTCCTTTGAAATTTTTTTTTAAACCTTTCCTTTTTTTTTTTTTTGTAGTTTACATTTAAATGCAGTACTGCTTTCTATTTGCTTTGTGTCTCTGCTGCTGCCTTCTTCTGCTTTTCCAGTTCCAAAGGAGGTGTGTGGCTGATCAGTTTGTAACTCTAGTTTCCATAACTCTGAGATTCTAGTGTTAGAGCAACTAGTGGCCAAAAGCTGTGCGGTAGGGCATAACTTGTATCAACATGCATGTAAAAATGCCAAAAAGTGCTAAGAACTTAAAAACAGGGTAGTAACAGGTTGTGATTCCTGGTGATAATGGAACCAGGTAATGTTCCAAATAAAAAGAGCTCAAACAACACTTGTAGCTGTTTCCATTGATTCACACAAACTCAGGCATTTTAGGCTGTTGAGTGACACGCAAAGTGACATTCCTATAATTTTACTGTATTTACTGCACCTAGGAAGTCATTTTAGAAGTCCAGCAAGAAGGACACTCTTCATTTATCACTCAGGAAAAACCTTCCAAGCCCCAAGAGTTAAACAAGGCTGCTAAAAGTCAAATACTTCAAATGGGATGTATACAAACATATATTTCAATGGTTTACTAGAGGGTAAGTATCACATACCTGTTTGTTCCGTAAAGGCTCTTGAAGAGTTTGAGGATTGGTTTCTAAGAGTAATCTGGAGTCTTCTATGTCATTCTAAAACAAAACAAAAACAAACAAACCCAGAAATAAAGATAATAAAGATCAATCATTCTTTTCCAGTACATTCCTCCCCATCCCTGCTCTTCCATCCAAAACTTTTTGTTGCACCAGCCCTGTTGTGCTGGCCTGGTGCTTGTAAAAACAAAATTAGAATGTCATGCTCATTAGGAACATTAGATAACATTTAATTTTAAAATTGTGTAATCGCACCAAATCTTAGCAGTTACACAATTATTTGACGGTCCCTGGGGGTGGGGGATCGGAAAACAATGTGCTCACGGCTTCACTTCACTCCATTCCACCCCACACTACTGCCTCTAATAAAGGGGTAGCAGCGTGGGGCGGCAGCAGCCTCTGTCTGTGGCAGGCCTGAGCTCCCCTCAGACAGAGGCTGCTCTGCCATCAGCCCCCAACTGATTTTTCTGTGGATCAGTGGCCCCCCAACCCAGAATAGGTTCCCCACTTCCGATGTACACAAACAAGTAGCCACACTGATTTCACTGGCATTTATCTCATTAATAAGGATTATTCATGTATGTAAGTGTTTTATTGGACCTGGTTTCCAGGGATGAAAGGCCATGAACTTCAATGGAACGAAGCCAAGTTTTATTGGACCTGGCTTCCAGTGATGAAAGGCCATGAACTTCAATGGAACGAAGCCAATTTACACCAACTGAGAATCTGCCCTCAGAGTGGAATTCCTCCCTAACCTTTTATGTGGCATAAAGGGGCTCTTAAAACCAGCTGGGTAAGAATTCCCCCAGCATAGACACTGTGTAGGTCAGACATGGGGAAGGGGTCTTCTGAGCACCTCTTCACAAGCCTATTGGGGACCAGGCTGCAACAGGCACCACTTCAGAGATTTCAGGCAGCAGAACAGCTCAAAAAGCATCTGGGGGAGGTTGCTTTAACTTAACTTAGACAGGTCCATAGTGGAAAAGGACCGCAGAGAAGCCCAGAAGTTTGCACTGCATCTTCTTGTACTGTACCTGAAATGGGGCGGGACTATTGTTCCCCCCTCCCCCCAAATTCAATGATAAATTTCACAGAAAAATGCACTTAAAAGCCTGTACAGCTTATGCTGTGAAAGTCTAAATAGATTGTAAGAGCTAATATTTAGATAAAGGCAGACTATGTAGGAAGGCTCAATACAATGTATTTTTAGAAGCACTGACGATCTAATGTAAGAATTCAGTGCTTCTTGCGCAAATACTTTGACGCTCCCGCTCAGGGATAAGCCCTCTTGCGCAAGAATACTTGTGCAAGAGGGCCAGTATAGACAGGCACCTTAATTTTTTGCACAAGAAAGCCCGATGGCTAAAATGGCCATCAGAGCTTTCTTGCGCAAAAGTGCGTCTATACTGGGCACGGATGCTTTTGCACAAAAGCACTTTTTGCGCAAAAGCATCCGTGCCAATCTAGACGCTCTTTTGCGGAAATACTTTTAACAGAAAAACTTTTCCGTTAAAAGTATTTCCGTAAAATCATGCCAGTCTAGATGCAGCCCCTGTGTTTACACTGCCAACTTCACATCACCCCACATTCAAGTCACATTCAAGTCACTGTAGTTTTGTAAAAAGATGTAAAGTACTTACTTTAGACTTCAGTAAGTGTGTAGGGTCTAAAATATCTAACCAGTGAAGATATCTTTGGAAAAAAGACTAATAAAAATACACAGTAAGAAAACTGTACACATATTTTGCAGTTCAACTTAATTAACTCTTTTCTGTAGCTGGCAAAAAGAAAGCAAAAATCTCGTCTACTTTGGTTCTTCAGCCTTTTTTTTTTTTTAAATTTCCACTAACAACTGCAGCCTCCTTTTTTGTTACAATCTGGTTGATAGAATGACATTCACAAGCTCAATGCCACCTTTTTCTAGTCATTACGAGAAAAACTTTTTATTTCCAACTGGTGTGGCCTTTGAGGTCATCAAACTTGCAACAAAGCAAGTCTGCCTGCTAAGGTTCTGGGGAGAAATACACTTTATCTTGGCAGGGTTTCGGTTCCTTTCCTTGCCTTATCCACTTTGTGTGAAAAATACTGGCTGTGGCATGAGTGACATCACCGACTAGGAGCGCTGTATCAACCAAAAAAGAAGACAAACCCCACCAATGAATCTCATAAGCTAACTTACAAGCTCACTCTACTAGACTCATTTAACAGGAACACTATAATTGACAGGTTCCACTCTCTCCCCTCCCCCCCTTCCCGCTGCCCTTTTTTTCTGCTTTGAAGTTTGGGGGTTCTGTGCCTTTTGCTCCACTCATCTGAAGTGGGTTTTGTATGTATATTTGTTAGTCTCCAAGGTGCTACAGGACCACTTTTTAAAAAGTTTTGTAAAGTTACAAATGAACGCGGCTACCCCACTGAGACCTATAAGCTAAAGCGAGGGTAAGAAGATAGCCGGGGTTGAAAAACGTGGACACTGTTTATGGGGTACAGTGACATATATCAGACCCTCACTTGGGGAGGGCTGGGACCCTAAGCACAGCTGTAAAACGGGCCAGTTACGCAGGCAGGGGAGGATCTGCAGCCAGCCTCCCCCCACATCTCAGAGCGGCCGCTGCCCCAAACCTAAAGGGCCGGGACCCTGGGGTCCAACCTGTTCAGTGTTT